TGACTTCTACTCTGCAGACGTAACTAGCTGCATGCCTGTCCCATATCATTTGCCTCACAGAGATTTTTGACCCTTAATCTTAAGCATATACTGAAGGATGAAATTCAGTCTTCTGTATATACTTCCTGCTGATCAGAGTTGTTGTCCTTGCCTACCGTGGCTTCAGAAACCTCTAACACATCTGGTTCACAAGCCAGAGGGTTTTCATTATTCAGTACCAATGGCTATGGCCTCTGCATGGTCATCATTACCCTGAGAAGCTGTTGAATTATGAAACAGACAAGTTTTTCAATCAGGATGAGCATCATTGAAAAGATAAATTGAAGGTGGAATTCCATTTAACAAGGGAAAAGTATATGCTATTGTTTTCCAAATAGATGGTGCTGACAGATTATCTCATGAAGCCTGGGCATAAAGATTTGTAATTTTTTATAGTGAACATGGTAGTGCTGTTAGAGTAGATGTGACAGAGTCTATTGATCCCTACACATGCTCCTCATTGCCCCATCTGTATATATTCTAAGGCTAGCAGGTTGTCCATAACTACCTTAGAGCATCCAGACTTGGTACATGCTGCAGTTGAGTACTTGAGTGAAAGTAGGTCTGAAATAAAGGCTAGGTTGTTCCAAGCAATAGACAGATTTTTAAAAATGGCTTCATGAGGTGTAAAACAGGATTGTCTACTATGATGATAGAAAAACTCATTGAGGAATTTTTCTGCCAGTAGCAGTTTCCTGAGAGTATCAGAAAAAGAGGTAGGGTAAGTATGTCTGCCATAAAGAACAACAGTCTTGCCATGACAAAAGCAAAGACTTCACTTGCCTTTTTGCTTTTTGAAAAGATTCAATTAGTTTCCAAGAGTAGGCAGACTTCTTCTGTATATCTGGGTAGATTCAAGAGGTACAGATTTAGTAATTCTTGATAAATGTACCCAGCTTAGAACTCCCTGACACTTAACGGTAGTAGGAGGGCTCAGTAGCACCTAGTACGTCCCTCCTATTTATGCTATAATGGGTCAGAGGAAGAGCCTTCTCTCCAAGTTTTTAATAAGACTAAGTCTCCTGGGGAAACAGGCTGTGGATAATTTTGGGATTTGGCAAGGAAAAATTTTTGTTATCATACCCCATAAGAGCCTTTTGTAACTTAGCTAGATTAAGAATATATCTTATCTTGAGTTTCTGAATCAAAGAGGATCTCAGCAGTGAGGAAGTGTCTTCCCTATAGCATTTCAAATGGTTAAGCTTTAAAACAGCCCTAGGGGGCATTCTCATCCTGAGGAGGGCAATAGGCAATCATTGAAGCCATGTTCCTAAGGTTTCTTGGCAAAACTTAGCCAGAATATTCTGAAGATTATGATGGTCCTTTTCAATTTTACCTGATACCTGAGGTATCCAAGAGGCATGGAGATAATGAGACCCCTAAATCTGTAGCTACCTGCTGAATAATTTTAGCCACAAATAAGGGGCGACTGTCATACTGGAGTGGCCCTGGAAGTCCAAAGCAAGTAACTATTTCTTTAACATGGCTTTGGACACTTCTTGTACCTATTCTATAGGAATGGGAAAAACTTCTATCCATCTTGTGGACGTATCTATAAAGATCAGTAGATATTTGTAATTATTTGCTGAAGGCATGTTAGTGGAGTCTATCTGCCAGTCTTCACCTGGGTACTTTCTCTCCTTGGTATAGGGGTTAGTAAGGAGGGGGGTTTGATATGACCACCAGAGTTCCTTGGGAAACAGATGGTATAGGGACACATTACTTCATTCTAACAGCATGCAGTCCTTTCCCTCCAGATATCCAAGAAACTATTTACATCAGGTCTCCTCTCTCCAAATGGGCAAAGTCATACATTTCCTTAATTATTTCCCACTGGGAAGCCCTTGGGAGCATTCCTGGCTTCCCACATCTGAATCACTCTTCTGCCCTGGCAGGATGTCCCCTGGGCTGACTCTGAGCTTGCTACATGTTAGTTGTAGCTATTGCCGTCCTATGAATGTGCTATTTGCACTGTTTTGCGTGTTGTAGTATCCTTTTTGCTTCAATCCTATCTCTGTTGTCAAACACTCAAAATGCTATTTTTACCAATTTCCTCATGGGGTTTGAGCTCCCATAGCCAGTTTTTGAAAATGTGCCTTAAGGAATAAGTCCATAGTAATGGGCACTGTACTATACACAGCTCAAAAGTCTCTGTAGAACCTGAAAAGACAAAAGTAGACATGGCTCTCTGTGAGCCCAGTTATGCTTAAGCATCCAACTTAAATCCCTTGTGTTAGAGAACTGGCATCCCTGAGTCTCCTTTTTATACTTCAAGATGGCTTTCTCTGTTCCAGGCCATTTGGTGGCTCTCCTGCAGGTAGATTTAGATCTTGAGTATTTTATCATCACCCAATGCTCCTTAAATTTTTCTAACCACAATATTTAGTATAACTGGCAAACTAGAGGGCACTAACAACACTAAGGTGCTAGTCCACCTAGTGGCAATCATGTATATGTTTGGGACATTTTCCCAGCAATCACCACAACCACAGAGATTTCAACCTCTGGGGCATTGTACCTCATGCCTGGAGGCTGAGTTCCAGGGTGATAGAAACTAGTAGAAAGCTAACACCAGCCATCAGGGTTTTGCTTAAACCTTCCTGAAGCTCCAGTGCCCTAAACATCTTCAGGGGCTTACACTGCCACACCAAGGGTATGCAAAACCACAGGGAGACTTTAACCCCATGCCTGGAGTCTATGCCCCAGGACAGTGTTAGCATCCAAGTATCTGCAGATGCTAGTGCTGAGAAATCTCAGCATTTGTATTTCTCAAAGCTGACCCCTGCTGTGAGGGTGGACTTCACAATGTATCTAAGAATAGGTCCCATCTGGCTAACAGAAGCCATGTTCATTTACCAGGAACCAAAACCAGTTGCATTTTAACCTTACCTTCCTCATGGCTTCTAGTTGTCCCGGAATAGAGAGCTTGCAATGTCTCTCAAGTCCTAAATACACAGTGAGTGGGTTGGCTGCCCCCTAAACATGGCTAACATTGGCCCACTCTCCCTGGAAATGTAGGGATGCAAGGGAGGGCCTTACTTCTAATAGGGAAGGAAGTCTTGGCCATTTGGTGTCCAGATATATCAACTAGATAAATAGAAATGGCTGTTCATCCTTCCCCCTTCCAACGACATCAGGTAACAGAGTTGGGCCATAGGCATGCATTCAAAGGCTTCACAGTTTAAGAAAGACATGAGTAATTAGGAGGCACTTCAGAGCACAGCTTTCATGACAAGATTTGAGTAAATTCATAGGAAAATGGTTGAGTGTTGGTGGGTGGATTTGGAGTGATTTAAATCTGACAACAGAAGCCTGAATAAATTGCTACTGGAAGTGTATTTTAGACATTTGTAGGGTGCTTCTATAGAGCACACTTTCTCAACCATCCCCTGCCCTCTCCCACATTGGCAAGGCACTCTAAGATCACTTTTACTTGGTCCACAAAAGTAATCAGGATGGGGACCAGTGCTGTGGCATAGCAGGTAAAGCCTGCGGTGCCAGCATCCCATATGGGCATTGGTTCGAGTCCCAGCTGCTCTTTCTTCTGATCTAGCTCTCTGCTATGGCCTGAGAAAGGAGTGGAGGATGGCCCAAGTCCTTCTGCCCCTGCACCTGCACCTGCACCTGCATGGGAGACCTTGAGGGGCCTCCTGGCTCCTGGCTCTGGATTGCCCCAGCTCCAGCTGTGGCAGCCATTTGGGGCCTCTGCCTCTCTGTAACTTTGCCTTTCAAATAAATAAATAAATCTTTTTTAAAAGGGAAAAAAAGTAATCAGGACAGTCTGCATAAGATTAGATTCTGTTCCAAGAACCTGACTCTCCTAAGTCCCAGTCTGCCACCACAGACTGAGGGGATCAATTGTTTAGCATACTGTCACACTTCCTTGGTTTGAAGGAGTCACACATCGATTGATCTAGAGGCCCAGCCTATCTGTACTTTAGATAGAGTTAGAAATGCCCTTAAAACAACAAATTGAAACTTGAAATAAAGTTTAAAAACATTTTAGTTTTAAAAATACTAGGTTGATTAGTCAAAGGATTATTTTTATATAGAGCATGTCTCAAAGTCTTCATTCAGGGCTTGTGCTGTGGTGTAGTAGGTTAAGCCTTCACCTGTGGCGCCAGCATCCCATATGGGTGCTGGTTTGTGTCTGAGCTGCTCCTCCTCCCATCCAGCTCTCTGCTAATGGCCTGGGAAATCAGTGGAAGATGGCCCAAGTGCTTGGGCCCCTGCACCCACATAGGAGTCCTGGAAGAAGCCCCATGTCCCTGAATTTCAATTGGCCCAGCTCTGGCTGTTGTGTCCATGTGGTGAGTGAACTAGTGGATACAAGACCCCTCTCTTTCTCTTCCTTTCTCTCTGTAACTCTGCCTCTCAAGTAAATATGTAACTAAATGTCTTCATACAGTTGAAGCTATACTAACCAGAAAATAAGTGCTAAATATAGTCCAACATTGCTTGAAGTCATTATACATATTTATTTTACACTTATGTGTTTTGTGCCTTTTGAATTATGAGCTCCTCTGAAGACAATAAAGGATGAAACAAACAAACAAAATAATACATAGCATTCATAAAACTAAACAAGTATAACAAACCTAAATTTTGAATCTGGGTTGGTGTAAGGCAAAAACAGTATAGCAGGTGGATTCGGTGATATATGTGATTTGAAGAGTATAAATGTCTGGATACAAGCAAAAATTCAGTCTTTCAAGGCTGTGGAATTGGTCAGCTTTAAGTCAAGGGCACCTAATAGTAAAGTGGACTCAGGTAACATCTGAATTATAGATAGAAGTTTGACATAGAATAGGAGAAAGCATGGAGTTTGAAGATAGAGTGAAAGGGCTCTAGGTAGGGGCGGGGCTGTGGGCACATCATGATGTCATCCTCTCTACCCTCAGACTCCCTTTGTGACTCATGATCTGTGATGCAGAGCTGGAACTATCTAGTCAAGGGCTTGACCCCTCAACCCTCAGTTGCCTCTCAGCAGCATTGCGATTCAGATAATGGAGTACGTCCTCTCATTTCTGAAGAGCCATTTTGAGCTGTGGCAGAGCTGCAGCTCAATCTTTATTGATAGCAACCTCAACTACACTCTTATTAGTGGGTTGGGGTTGATCTTTTTGTACCTGAGCTACCTGGTATTAAAGCTATTTTTCACAACCATCTGGAAAACTAAGACCATCGAAAAGGTAAGGGACTATGGGTGGACTCCAAGAGAGATATTGATGTTGCTGTTGTTTCCCATTTCTGTTCTCACATTTCTACACTTGATCTTAGCCAAAAGGCCTGGAAACGATGTTCTCACATTTCTAAACGAGTTTGGTTTCCTCGGAGAGAAGCCAGAGATGGGAAGTCTGAGGAAGGACAGAGCACCACCTTCCTAGGGGCAGAGGCTAGGCAGGGATGGGTTCGGGCGAACAAAGGCTTACAAGTGAAGCTCAGGGACCACCTATCTGGTATGGTGGAGGTTTCCAGGATAAAATCCCACCTGTAAATATTAGCAATGTAAGGAATACATGTCTATAGTTTAAAATGAAGAGATATTCAGGGTGGTAAAAGGAGGAAGAGAAATGAAACTCAGTCCCTCATTCTTTACTTTTTGTTCTCAGTGTTGGGGTAGAGCCAAGAGGCGGTGGAAAGGTGGAACATTTAGAGGTAAGGTTCTCTGTGTTCACACTGAACTTTGCAAGGGTGATCCTTCCTGTCTCAGATCCAGAGCCTCTGAAAATGTCAGTTGCTATATACAGTCTCTCTGTGAAAACAGAATACTCAGAGGAGAAACATGGGAAAGACAGTCATACCTGAGACATTTCTCAGAGTTCTTCCTTAGCCCATCTGTGGGCAGGAATCTGAGATGCATGGACAACGGGTACTGCCCAAAAGGTGATGATGTGAGAAATAAGTATGGACTACTAGTTGTCTCGTAGTCAGAACTCCAGTCTCCCGCCTTTATAGATGTCCTTCGACTTCTCGGTACTCTCATTCTTCACTGAGCACTCCGCTGATATCTCTGCTTCATGTGGTGAGTTTTAGCATCACACTGTACAACATATGTAAAGTACTTCATAAATATTGACACATACACATGTGAATCTTACTAATATTATTGACAATCTTTCCATAATTACTGATTCTTGGAGCATTCAGAATTTAGTATCCCCAGATGCTCCCAGAGGGGGACTCCTCTATGATTCTTATACTTCTACTTTCATTACATATGTTCTACTCTCCTGATTTCCCAGATTCAAGGATTAACCAGAAAGAAGCAGAGGAGGGATGGAAGCTTCTTTCTGTTTTGAAAAGGTGATTAATCTTTCCTCTTTTTCCTGGTCCCCCCCACCTTTTTTTTTTTAACATGTTCCATATATTCCAGGGAATCAGTGAAGCCTGCCATTATGATGTGAGGCAGGTAGCCATAGGAACGGAATGTGATAAAAGCCTCAGGGAGGGGCCACAGAGTTAGTGTGACATCACAAATGTGAGGTGATGGGAACAGTGGGATTGGGCTATCCCTACCCCCACTAGGCCAGCAGACCCTCCTCTCCATGTTCTGGTCTTGACCGTAGCTTTTTCTTCTGTTTCCTGTAGACCCCAGAGCCAACATCAAGATATCCCCAGTTTCCGTCACCTGCTGTGTCCAGACCCTCACTGTACGGTGTGTAACAGAGTGGCTGCCAAAGTCAGTCGACTGCTGTCGCTGGGGAAACTGATAGATGATACTTCCTCTGTGCATTATATGGCTTCCTCAGCTTCTGTGATTAAGACCTCATTGACTGTGACATCTGGCCACTCAAAAACTCGTCCAAGAGGCCAAAAATCAGCCTCTTTGCGTGTGCCATCTCCACCTCCCCCTTCTACTGTCTCACTTAACCATGGTGCTTCTTTACCTGGTTTGCTGTCCCCCGAACCACCAGCTGACTCAGTACCACCAGAGCCTATTCCTCCCTTGGCTTCAAAACTCCCAGTGGACCCTTTCCCACCCCAACCTGTTTCTATTTGCCCTCCCACACCACATCAATCTCAGAGATCAGATCATGATCTCCATCCAGAGTTTCCTCTGTCTGTAATGAATAGCCCTGATGGGTTGTCAACTGATATTCCAACAGTCAGTGAAACTGACCATTCAATGCCAGAATCATCCTGGCAGCAGGCCCAGGTCAAGGATGCCAAAGACTTGTCCTCTTCCAACTTAGAACAAGATAGTATCAAGCATGAGCTTCTTGATGGCCAATCTTCTGATACCTCTTGTACAGAACATGCATCCAACCTTGTAGAACCCACTAACTTCTCGTTACTCAGCCATGATGATCTGGCACTCTTGGAGAAACAAGTAAGAAAGAGGGGTGATTTCCTGATCCAGAAGGAAAGGGAAAATAAAATGGAACCATTTATAAAACAACTTAGTTCAGACCACCAACTGAGCACTTCAGAGAAAATGATAGAGTCAAGTGCTGATAGACATGACTCAGCAGTCAGTGCAGACCACCAACTGTATATAGCAGAGCCAAAGTTAGAGTCAGATGCTGATAAGCATGACTCAGCAGTCTCCCTTTATTTTGGAAACAGCAAAGGCAAACCAAAGGAGCTGCAAATGAACCAGCAGCCTCCATCTCCTAGGACCTCTGACAATCAGTTACAAGAATTTTGGGGTCTTCCATCTTTGCACAGTGAGTCCTTGTGCTCAATTATCCATCATTCAGATGACTGTCCCTCAACTTTGGTCATCTTTAATGGCATCTCCAAAGCTTCTACATCTCAAGGATCTTTAGGACTTTCCAATTTCCAGCCTCTGATCTTGCCTGAGATGCAATCTCAATCCTCAACTAAAACTGTCCCCCAGTCACAGTCACAACATGCTACTCAGGCCCAGTCTCAGTCCAACCTTCAATCTCCAATCCCAATGCTACCAACATCTCCCGATTTCCAGCTTAGGATCTGTGGAGTGTGCTTCCATAGACCCCCTAATGAGGCACAGTGTCTCATGCAATCTGAACTTCATCAGCTAGAATACAAAGTGCTACAGAAAGAACAGGAACATTTGTGGGGTTTACCTTCTATGGTCCAAACGTCTCAGGAATACCTTTGTCCTCCACCTCCCAACTTTTCATTGGGGAGCCAGTCCTCCAAAATACATGTTCCAATCTCAGTCATTCCTGGAGATTACCCTCTGAGCAGTGAGCTTCGTAAGAAATTTGAATACCACCTTAGAAAGAGACTCATCCAACACCAATGGGGCCTACCCCGCAGGGTCTATGAGTCTCTGACACTGATTAATCCTGAGAGAGATGTTCCTGAAATATATGCATCAAAGAGTTTTAACAGACTCAAATGGATATCTTTGTTGAAGGAACAGAGTAGCAACAATTTAAGGAATTCTGAATCGAGCCAACTTCCAATCTCCTGTGAGACAAGCTCAGAAGAGTTTCAGTCAGATAATGATGAGAAGGACCATCAGAGACACAGCCCAAAGAATGGCCCAAGTGATCATCTATTGAGTGACCCAGAAGGATACTCAGAAAACAGTTTAGAGTCTGACTCTGAGAAAGATCAAGGAAGTCAAAAACAGATAAATGGGGCATCATCTGTGAGAAACATTAGCTTGAACACGTCCCAGGAGGTTTATTTCTTGGGTTCTGGCAAACAAAAGATGCTGGAAGAACATATAAGCAGTTTTTTCATGAGGATGAAATGTGGCCTTCCCACCAGGGTCCTTGAATCCATACAGATCTTCAGCAAGAGAGAGGATTCATCTTCTTCCTTAGGCCATTCCTATGGTTCCTCCCAAGGTAGCCTTAGTTCTGGGACGCATTCCAAAGTTATGTTATCCAAGTCACTTGGTAGGAGCTCTACACCTTTGTGTAGAGACAAATTGAAGATGAGAAAGTCAGCACCCAATTTGGATCATCTTCCTGCTGCAGGTGTTCAGATTAAAGATGGCAGAAAGAGTTGTCTGTGCATCACAGACAAAGAAATTAAGAAAACTGGACCAGACAGTGGACACAGCGTAGTGCTGGTGTCCGCAAGTCATGATGGGATTGGACCTGAGCCAAAGGATAAGACAGTGAGTTCCAGCAACAAAGAAGAAAGGCTTCAGGCTCCCAAAGTAACGACTTCAGAATGCTTCCCAACGTTTAACAAGTCTAGAGAGATATTTAAGGCAAAGGAGCTCCTTGCTCTTCAATCAAAATCTGCCAATGCCTTGACAACCAACAAGTCAGGGGACTCTGTAGCAGTAGATGGGAAAACAAAGAGAGAAGAAACTACCCTGGCTACTGAAATTCCCTCACCAACATCAGTTTCTCAGGATCCTAAACTATCAGAATTTAAAAACAACTTGATTAAAGAATTAAAGTTGAAATTGGAGAATAGGGATCATAGCTCTGTTCAAAAGCAGTCTATTGATATGGCTGTTGCCTCAGATAACTTGATCTCCAAAACCTTGAAGACTCATGCCCAGGGTGTCTCCAATGGGAAGATGGCAGCTTCTCAGGTTATGCATGTACATATGGACAACACACCAGTCAGTATGGAACAGCATCAGGAGCCCTGGGTCCCTAAGCATATCTTCCAGAACTGCTGGGATCAGCATGTCCCACCAGATTCCAAGAGACTGAGTCATTTGCGACCAAAAACAGGAGAGCTTGGTGAAGGGGATGCAGGGTTGGGGACACCACAACCCAGTAGGAAGAGCTGCCCTGGTCAAGACAGGGCATTAAAGAAGATGCTTGGAAGCAGATCTTCCCCAGCCTCGTCAGTGAAGGATCAGCCTCCTCCTGAAAATCTGTTCCAAAAACAGATAAAGAAATTTTTGCAATGGATTTGTCCTAACAGCACAAACAAAAGGCAAGAAAGGTTCCTTGGAAAGGGGACCTCCTCACCATCAACTCTGCAGAGCCACAGCAAAGTTAATAGTAGAACTGCCTCTACTGGCAACACCAAAACTCTGCAAGTGAAGACAGACGTTGGCAAGGTGTTAGATGTGAAACCAGGGAGTAGCCATGGTGTCAGAATCACCTGCCCCCAAGAGTCACGTTCCTCTCCAACAAAGCCTGTGAAAACACTTAAGGCACAATTGCAGGCCCAGGCAGATACTGTCCAGGGACATCCTTTTAACTACACGGCTTCCTCCTGTAAAACAAAAACTACCAAGTCCTGTAGCCAAGAAGCGTCCTTGGCTGACCAAAATTACTCCTTGAAGAATCCACTGACCAAAGACAGGGTGAGACAGCCCCAGAAAGTTGTGGCATTCAAGGATCTGCCACTATCACAGAGGCATCTGGCATCCATGCCCAATAAAGAGTTCCTGCCCCATCCAAACCATACCTGCAGGCGTCAAGCTAGCCAGGTATCTGCAACCACACCTACATTTTCTGAAGGCACTGTATTGGGAGATCTGCGTCTACTCTTCAAACATAAAATGCTCCTTCAGCATTTCCAGGGAGGAAGATTTCCTTCTACCAAATAATTTATCCCTTTTTGAAATTACTGATTTTTCACAATAAATATTCTAATGATTGCTGTCTTTTATGTGTACTGTTTTGGAGACATGAGATTTGAGTAACATCGGGTTTATACTTAGGGAAAAGAATTAGTTGAGCACATACTCATCATCTCTTTTGGATTTAAATGATTACAGTCCACTGAGCTCTAGGGGGATGGCTATCAACTGCCCCTTAAGGCCCTTCCATCCCTGGAGAAGTCTAAGGACATGTGCTGTGTTTCTATTGTGTGGCAACCCATATACCCTCCCCCTCACTATTTCTTGGCTTCTGGAGGAATAAGGGATGTAAGTCATCATATCTGAAGAGGGTCAAAGTCACATATCTTTTTCAGAAAATTGTGCTTAATCTTATGTTTTTAAAGAAAATATTGTCAATAACTAAAGCATGACACAGGTGGGTGAACTTCGCCTCAGGCGTGGTTGAAGATTACTGCCACAGTAGACATGGGACTGATTGGGTTAAGGTCTAGAAACATTAGAATTGTTGGTTGAGAATCTTTCGTGAGAGGCATAGTAATACATTGGAAAACCATACTTTGGGGCATTGATGTTTTCCTACTGGAAAATAAGCTTATGAAGGTAGCTCCCTGCCACCCATGTGGGAAACCCAGATGGAGATTTGGGCTCATACCTTTTGTCTTGCCTAACCCTAGCCATGACAGCTATTTGGAGTTTGAGCCAGAAGATGGATGATATGTCTCTCTGTCTCTCTTTCATTCTGTATCTCTATCTTTATTTTTAAAAGATTGTTCTTTTTATTGAAATTCAGAGCTACAGGGAGGGAGAGAATCTTCCATGTGTTGGTTCACTCTCCAGATGGCCCCAACAGCCAGTGTGAGACCAGGCTGAAGTGAAGAGCCAGAAGCATCATCCATGTCTCCCAGATGGATGACAGGGTTCAAAAACCATCCTCCAATGCTTTTCCAGGCTATTAGCAGGGCGTTGTATTGGAAGTAGAGTAGCCAGGACATGAATTGGCACCCATATAGGATGCCTGCACTTTACCTGCTAACGCTACAACACCAGCCCTACACTCTGCCTTTCAAATAAATAAATGTTAAAACATTGGACAATTTCCTGGAAGACACTTAAGGTAGTTTTTACAGTAAAAAGTTGGAAATTCTGGGTGTCAAAATAAAGCAAATATAAAACATGTTCATTGCAGCCCCCTCACTCTACCATACTTCTATCTTTTTATCCGGAGTTATGCCATTCAACTTGCATTGTCTGAAGCTTAATGTTGCAGAATCAATGAAGATTCTGAGGAGGTCCTGGGATAGTAAAAAATGTGGGATGGGGCCCAGGGCAAGGAACTGGAAGTGGTGGAGATCAGTGGAGGAACTAATATCCATGTGGATTGACAAAGCAATAACATGGAGACCTCTACTCTCCCATCTAGAGTCTTACTCCAGTTAGGATACTGCCATACCCCAGAGTTTACCACTGGGAATGTCTGCCATCTGAAGTATTATAGTCTGACCCTTTGACATCAACCCTCTAACTTTGCATCATATACATCATATACTGTATATTTGTCAACTTTTGAACTCTGGGTCATAATTTTTCCACTTCTTCATCTACCCAATAGCCTCATGTCTGCATTTCCTCCCTCTTTAAGCAGATTTTATTGTCTTCAAGATAATATTTAAAAGGCTCCATTCCAAACGACTCTATTCTAATCCACTTTAATCTTTCCTGTCTGGCAATATCCCCTTTCTCTGGCTTTTCCAGAAATGCATACCTATAAGGGACTAATAACTATTGTATTAAATTTATGATCAACTGTACTGATTTTAGGTGTAGCTCTAGCACTGTCTGGAAATAATTTATTCACTCATTTCACAAATCATTATCCTATGTAACAGTGGGCAAATAAAACAGAACTTAAGTCACCAATTCCCTAGTTCATGCTCTCTTTCATTCTACTCAAAACCATTTGAAATCTCCTACACCTTCCTGAAACTTATGCTATCTCTCCTTGGTCAGCAGATGTGTTGGACTCACCATTTACAGAGTAACTAGAGGCTAACTCATGGAAGTCTTCATCAAGAAACCCTTCCTTCCTTCCTTCCTTCCTTCCTTCCTTCCTCCCTCCCTCCCTCCCTCCCTCCCTCCCTTCTCACAGAAAAAAATTTCCTTCCACAGTACTCAACTGCAAAGGAATTAGACTTCTAGAACTGTCTTTTTTGAGACATAACTAAACTCTGGTCTTGATGGATTGACTTATGCATGCCAGAAATCCTTACTGCCTCCTTCCTCTCTTCATGAGGCACTCAATATCTTTTTCTTAAAGCTTTTCATCACAAAGATGTTTAAACATACACAGGATCAAATAAAATAATGTGATTCTCCATGTACCTACTCTACAACTTTCAGTCACCATTTGGCAGGTATGATGTACCCCATCATTACACTATGACTAAAGTGTAAAGTCAATTTAAACATTGTTCATTCATCTCTTAGAAGGTATGTTATTTGCCTTATGTAAATGCTCTCAAAATTTGTTTGATATTTACCACATGAGGAACATATTTAACCACAACAAATGTAAACACCATTGGTGATTAAACCACATTGAGCTTTGTAGCTTTTGGCAATCAGTTCCGCTCTGCCTTCTAGTTAATCCTGAGAAGTCATTAGAAGGTATTCCTACCCCTACTCCATACAGAAAGTAATCTTACAGAACAAATTCAGTGCACAGTATTACAGTTCCTTAACCACACAGACAACATAACAATAAAAGGAACTGAAGTAGGAAACAGTACAGGTGGACAAAACCCTGAGATTGCTATGCAAATGTTTTCAAATACTTAGAAGAAATGTTTTCCTTTTACAAATTTAAAATAAGTTATTTTGCTTCATTATACTTAGTAGATCAACTATACTAATAGTTGATGTCCTTCCTAAAATGCCACTGAAAGTAAAGAATTATAACAGAAGCTCCTTGACTTCATTACTCATAAAGTAAGTAGAAAACGACTACAAAATGCCACTTCACACCTACTAGAATGATCACAATCGAAAAACCAGATAACAGGAGTAGGCTTTTTGGCACAATGAGTTGAGGTACTTCTTGGGATGCTAACATCTCACATCCAAGTGCTTGGCTTGAATCTGGCTCTTCCACCTCTTTATTTTTTTTAAACAAATATGTATTTCTTGTGGCTTTTTCAAGATTTATTTATTTGAAAGAGTTACAGAGAGGCAGAGATCAAGAGAGAGGTCCTCCATCTACTGGTTCACTCCTCAGATGGCCACAACGGCTGGAGCTGCACAGATCCAAAGCCAGGGGCCCGGAGGCTTCCAGGTCTCAACATAGGTGCAAGGGGCCCAAGGACTTGGGCTATCTTCTACTGCCTTCTCAGACCACAGCAGAGAGCTGGATAGGAAGAAGAGCAGTAGGGACAAGAGCCAGTGCACATATGGGATGCTGGCATCCCAGCCCAGGGCTTTAACCCGCTGTGCCACAGTGCCAGCCCCTCTTCCTCCTCTTATCTAACTTCCTGCTAATGCAATCTCTGGGTGGCAGCAGGTGATGACTCAAGTACTTGGGTCCCTACCACTCACTTCAGAGATTTGCATGGAATTCCAGTCTCTTGGCTTTGGCTTGGCCCATTGTTATGGGCATTTGGGCAGTGAACCTGCAGATGGAAGATCTCTCTCTGTTTCTGTTTGTTTGTCTGTCTCCCTGTCTTTCAAATAAAATGAAAACAAATGAATAATAACTGGAAAAACAGATAATAAGGTTTGAGAAAATGTAGAGAGATACAAAGTCTTACATACTGCTACAGAGAATGAAAACGGATAAAGTATTACATTGTACATCAACAGTCAGGACAAGAGCTTATCAAGTCACTGTTTCTCATAGTGTCCATTTCACTTCGACAGGTTTCCCCTTTGGTGCTCAGTTAGTTGTCGCCGATCAGGGAGAACATATGATATTTATCCCTTTGGGACTGGCTTAATTCACTCAGCATGATGTTTTCCAAATTCCTCCATCTTGTTGCAAATTACTGGGTTTCGTTGTTTTTGACTGCTGTATTGTATTCTATAGAGTACATGTCCCATAATTTCTTTATCCAGTCTACTGTTGATGGGCATTTAGGTTGGTTCCAGGTCTTAGCTATTGTGAATTGAGCTGCAATAAACATTAATGTGCAGACAGCTTGTTTGTTTGCCAATTTAATTTTTTGGGGGGTTAAATTCCAAGGAGTGGGATGGCTGGGTTGTATGGTATCTCCAGACTGACTTCCACAGTGGCTTAACCAGTTTGCATTCCCACCAACAGTGGGTTAGTGTCCCTTTTTCCTCACATCCTTGCCAGCATCTATTGTTGGTAGATTTCTGAATGTGAGCTATTCTCACCGAGGTGAGGTGAAACCTCATTGTGGTTTTGATTTGCATTTCCCTGATTGCTAGTGATCTTGAACATTTTTTCATGTGCCTGCTGGCCATTTGGATTTCCTCTTTTGAAAAATGTCTATTGAGGTCCTTGGCCCATCTCTTAAGTGGGTTGTTTGTTTTGATGTTGTGGAGTTTCTTGATTTCTTTGTGGATTCTGGTTATCAACCCTTTATCTGTTGCATAGTTTGCAAATATTTTTTCCCATTCTGTTGGTTGCCTCTTCACTTTCCTGTTTCTTTTGCAGTACAGAAACTTCTCAATTTGATGCAATCCCAAATGTTAATTTTGGCTTTGACTGCCTGTGCTTCTGGGGTGTTTTCCAAGAAGTCATTGCCGGTACCTATATCTTGCAGGGTTTTTCCAATGCTCTCTAATAATTTGATGGTGTCAGGTTGTCGACTTATGTCTTTAATACACGTTGAGTGAATTTTTGTGTAAGGTGAAGGGTAGGGGTCTTGCTTCATGATTCTGCACGTGGAAATCCAATTTTCCCAGCACCATTTATTGAATAGACTGTCCTTACTCCAGGGATTGGTTTTGGATCCTTGTTCTAGTACCATTGGTTGAACTCTGTAATTAACACACAATTATTCTTAGGTTTTTAAATTTTAACTGAACAGTCATCCCTGTTAGGAATTTGGAAAACATTATGCTCAGTGAAATAAGCCAATCCCAAAGGGACAAATACCATATGTTCTCCCTGATAGGTGACAACTAACTGACAACAAAAAGGAAACCTGTTAAAGTGAAATGAACACTATGAGAAACGGTGACTTGATCAGCCCTTGTCCTGACTATTGATGAACAACTTAATATGATATCCCTCTTAGTATATTTGTTTGTTCTACTTAATACTTTTGGTTGAATACTGTAATCAATACACAATTATTCTTAAGTGCTGAAACAACTGAAAAGTTATTGCTGTTAAATATAAGAGTGGGAATAAGAGAGGGAAGAGATGTGCAATTCGGGACATGCTCAAGCTGACTTACCTCAAACGGTAGAGTTAGAAACATACCAGGGGATTCCAATTCAATCCCATCAAGGTGGCATGTACCAATGCCATCTCACTAGTCCCAGTGATCAATTTCTGTTCACAATTGATCATAATGATAGGACTAAGAACCAAAGAGATCACATAAACAAGAATAGTGTCTGCAAATACTAGCTTATAGAATAAAAAAGGGAGAGAACAATCCAACATGGGAAGTGAGATACACAGCAGACCCATAGAATGGCAGATGTTCTAAACAGCACTCTGGCCTCAGAATCAGCCCTTAAGGCATTTGGATCTGGCTGAAAAGCCCATGAGAGTATTTCAGGCATGGAAAGCCAAGACACTCTGGAAAACAAACAAACAAACAACAATAACAACAACAAAAAAAACCTAAATGAAAGATCTCTGCGAGTGAGATCCCAGTGAAAAGAACAGGTCATCAAAGAAGGAGGTACCTTTCTCTGAAGGGAGGAGAGAACTTCCACTTTGACCATGGCCTTGTCTAAATATGATCAGAGTCGGTGAACTCAGGGGGCTTCCATAGCCTTGGCAGCTCATGACAAGAGCCTAGGGTGATTACTGATGCCATAAACAAGAGTGTCAATTTGTTAACAACAGAAGTCACTGTGCACTTACTCCTCATGTAGGATCTCTGTCCTTAGTGTGCTGTACCTTGAGATTTAATGCTATAACTAGAACTCAAACAGTATTTTTTCACTTTATGTTTCTGTGTGGGTGAAAACTGTTGAAATAATTTACTTAATGTATGCTAAACTGATCTTCTGTATATAAAGAGAATCTAAAATGAATCTTGATGTGAATGGAAGGGGAGAGGGAGTGGGAAAGGGGAGGGTTGCGGGTGGGAGGGAAGTTATGGGGGGGAAGCCATTGTAATCCATAAGCTGTACTTTGGAAATCTGTATTCATTAAATGAAAGTTAAAAAAAAGTGAGAGAATGAAAATGGTGTGTTTTTGAAAACAGTTTGACAGTTCCTTAAAATAATTAAACACAGAGTTGCCATTTAAGCCAGCAATTTTTCTCCTAGGCATCATACACAAGAGAAATTAAAAATTAAGCACACAGAAATGGCACATAAATATTCACAGCAACAGCATTCACAGCAGCCAAAATGGGGAAACCACACAAATGTCCATCAACTGATGAATGGATAAGCAAAGTGTGGCACACACTTACAATGAAATACGATTCAGCCATAAAAAGGAAACATTAATGAGTGCTACAACAAGAATGAACCTTGAAGTCTTTGGGCCTCTGCATGCACATGGGAGACCTGGAAGAATCTCGTGGTTCTGGCTTCAGATTGGCACAGCTCTGGCCATAGTTGCCATTTGGGGAGTGAAGACTTCTCTCTCTCTGCCTCTGCCTCTCTGTAACTCTCCACCCGTCAAATAAGTAAACAAATAAATCTTTAAAAAAAAGTCAAGGCAGAATAAAAATATGCTGGGAAGAAGAGAGGGAATTTGGAAGAAGGATGGAGTAGCAGAGCAGGTTCTGTGGAGGGAACAAGATTTGAGAGCATTCAGGAACAGAATAGCCGCAAAGGGATTCTAGGAGAAAGAATACTAAAAGATGTTTAAATTGTTGCCATGGGTAGATATGCCATGCCCTCATCTTCCTCTTTATTGGGGTGTGTGCTCTTTGGTACAGGCTACTCTGTTCTTTAGTGATGGTCTTTAGCAAACATGAATCCTTTTGAGGAAATAAGGGGGAGGGGGCTGTTGCTGAGTCTATTACTGATTCTGTAGAGTGTCGCTCCCCCTCTTCACGGAGGAACGACACAGGACCCTGCACTGTTCTTTTGTCTGCTCGGCCCTTCCCAGGTTTGCTGCTGGTCCTTCCCGGGTTGGCTGCCGACCCCTCCACCTCCGCGGAGGGGTGGCTCCCCCTGCCACTTTCCCCACTTCTGCGGAGGAGTGGCACACCGCCGGCTGGCTCTCTCGGGGGCTGCTCAGATGTTATCCGGATGTTCCTGGTGCATGTTGTGTCTCTCCTCCTTTATAGTCCTCTTCCACCAATCCCAACTCTGCTACCCACATGCCGAGCATGCTGCTCTCCTCCAATCAGGAGCAGGATCAGCTCCTGCAGCTTATCAGTCAAGTTGGCGAGAGGCAGCTGCGTAGAAGTTGTTTACTCCTCTCCCAGCGCCATATTGTGGGAGAGCAGATGCATAGACTAAGTCTTAATTCCAGTAACTTAGTCTAGTCCGAGTTGCTCCCCACAGTAGAGTTAGAAGTACATTGTATATATAGAAAGCCTTATTTCAGAACAGAGGATGTTGAGGGTAAAAGTCCCTGGGCATATTAGACTTTTTGTTCAAAACTTACATGAGGTCTTGAGTTAATGCCTAGGTAACAATATGGTATAATGGAACGATATGGTTGGAAGGTAGTGTGGAGGGATCTAAAGGACCCCAGGAGGATGAACAGATCATCTAGTGTGTAGGGGGGATAGGACTGGGAATTCATCTCCCCCATGTTGTTCCTTCTCCCAACCTCTTGAACTAAAGCTTTGTGATGTGGGCCTGGAAATCTGGTCTAGAAGGTATACTCTTAGTGTCCAGTTTCTGATCATGTGGGCCATGTTCTTTGTCAGAAGGGCTTTTCTGAAACATGGCTGGGATACAGCTTGGTTTCCAAGGTATTCCTATCATTGATTTCCTGGGTAGTGCTTTGCCTTCTATTAGTAAAGAGGAGTCTATGTTTTCTAATATTCTTGGAACAGAGGCATCAATCAGGTGAGTAAACCAGAGCTACTAAGAGGGTTTAGCTCTTTCTTCTGTTCTAACACAGGAATTTAATGCTCTCAATTTCCCTCTAAGAACTGCTTTTGCTGGATACTACAAAATTTCCTAAGTTGAATTTTCATTTTAAAATATTTTAAAATTCCTCCTGACATATCTTTGACCCATGTGTTAACATTGTGTTGATTAATCACCATGTATTTTGGGATTTTCTAGCTGTCTTTGTTACTAAATATTAGTTTTATTCCACTGCAGTCAAAGAGTAGATTTAAATTTCTATTTGTTCCAGTACTGTGGCATAGCAGGTAAAGCTGCATTCTACAGTGCTGGCATCTCAAGTGGGTGCCGGTTTGAGACTTGGCTGCTCCACTTCCAATCCAGCTTTCTGCTATGCCCTGGGAAAGCCATAGAAGATGGCCCAAGTCCTTGGGCCCCTGCACCCACGTGGGAGACCAGGAAGAAGCTCCTGGCTCCTGGCTTTGGATCAATTGGCCATTGCAGCCAATTGGGGAGTGAATCAATGAATGGAAGACCTCTCTCCCTCTCTGCCTCTCCTCTCTCTGTGCAACTTATATTTGATAAATGCCAATTAGGTCAAGTTGATTGATGGTGCTGTTCAGATAAACAATGTTTTTATGATTTTTTGCTTGCTGAATCTGTATCTTACTAACAGAGACTTGCTGACATGTCGCTCGCTCCGCAGGCTCGTGGAGGGGCGGCAATGGATTTGCTGTTGTTTCTTTCCCCGGTCCTCCCCGGATTAGCTGCTGCCCCCCCCCCGCCTCCGTGGAGGGGTGGCACCCCCGCCGCTTCCCCCGCTTCCGCGGAGGAGCGGCAAACTGCCAGCCGGCTCTCTCAGGGGTTCCTCAGGTGTTCCCATTGCATGTTGTCTCTCTCCTCCTTTATAGTCCTCTTCCACCAATCCGTGCTCTGCTGCCCACACGCCAAGCACGCTGTTCTCCTCCAATCAGGAGCAGGATCAGCTCCCGCAGCTTGTTAGTCGAATTGGTGAGGCAGCTGTGTGGAAGTTGTTTACTCTCTCTCAGCACCATATGGTGGGAGATCAGATGCATAGAGTTAGTCTTAGCAGTTCCAGTAATTTAGTCTAGTCTCGGTAATCTCAGTATTTATCCTCAGTATTTATTTGTCCATAGTCTTGGTACTTATTTGTCTCCCGGGCGATGGGCCCTGCTCCCCACTGGGCCCTGCTCCCCACACTGACATCTCCAACATTCAAAAGTGGATTCAGCTGTTTCTCCTGTGTTTTTATTTTTGCTTCATATATTTGTATTCTGACATTCTGTTTTTAAGTGTATACCTATTAAGGATTGCTATTACTTCTTGATAATTGGCCCTTTTGTACATTCTGCTCTTTATTCCTGATAATTTTCCTTGTTCTAAAGTTTGCTTTGTCTGAAATTATATTGTTACCCTCCTTTTCTTAATTAGTGTGAGCATGGTGTTTTTTCCACTATCTCTTTACTTTCCATCTGTCTTTATATTTAAAATGAGTGTATTGTAGGTAATAAATTATCTTTCAGTAGGTAAAATTAGATGAATTACATTTAAGGCGATTTTCTCAGACTTGGATTATCTACCATGTCTGGAACTGTTGACTAGTCATTGCAACTTTTGTCTGTCTTTTGTGATTTTCAACAATGATTTTATTTACTCTATCTTTTATTTAGATGATATTTTATTTACTCTCTCTTTGATTTAGATGATATATTAAGGTATACAATACATTTTGATATAGGAGGATATTTCAAAAGGTTTGTGCAAAATGAAAGTAAAAGATAGATTGGTGGGGCTGGTGCTGTAGCGTAGCAGGTAAAGCTGCTGCCTGCAGTGCCAGCATTCCATATGGGTGCCTGTTTGAGTCCTTGCTGCTCCACTTCCAATACAGCTCTCTGCTATGGCCTGGGAAAACAGAAGATGGCACAAGTCCTTTTTTAAGATTTATTTTTTTAAGATTTATTTGAAAGTCAGAGTTACACAGGTAGGAAAGGAGAGGCAGAGAGAGTGAGAGAAAGGCCCTCTACCCACTGGCTCACTCCCCAGTTGGTCGCAATAGGCAGAGCTGTGCTGATCCAGAGCCAGGAGCTTTTTCTGGGTCTCCCAGGTGGGTATAGGGGCCTGAGGATTTGGGCCACCTTCTACTGCTTTCCCAGGCCATAGCAGAGAGCTGGACTGGAAGAGGAGCAACCAGGAGGAGAACCAGCGTCCACATGGGATGACGGCACCACAGGCAGAGGATTAACCAAATGAGCCATGGCGCCACCCCCAAGTTTTCTTTTTATAATATGCAATTCCATCAACTTTTTGAAGACATGTCATACATAATGAAATCATTATTTCAAATATTTATGTTAGGTAACTAACATAGTCATAATCTGTTACTCCTTTGTAATTTGCTTTGTTTCATGATCATTCAAAAATCTGCTCTCTTAGCAAGTTTCCAGGACATAATACAATATTACTAACCATAACCATAGGTCTCATGATGTACATTCATTCTCTAGACTTCTTCATCCTCCATAACTACAACTTTGTGTATGTTGACCTCTATCCTCTCCTCCTACCAAACCCACCACTGGTAGCTATCATTCTATTTTCTGTTCTATGTATTCAACTTTTAAATGTTCTTGTTAGACTTTCTATGTGAGATAACATAGTAGTTTTCTTTCTGTGTCATACTTATTTCCATTAGCATAATGTCCTGTGGTTGCATCGCTGTTGTTGCAAAAGGAAGGCTCTTCTTTTTCAAGGTCTCTGTAATTCTAACTATGAAGGCACTTAAAAAATTTTGGAAAATGCAAATTATGAAGAAACTGCATAGATTTCTTTTTGTGCCAAATACTTATCGTTAATTCCATTTTCTGTGAATTTTTCAAAATATGTCATGTGTGTTTACTTCCACTCTCACAATTTCTTTATCCATTTTTAATTACTGGAGTCTGAGGTTGTCTCCATATCTTGGCTATTGTGAATAATGTTGCAATAAACATGGAGGTGCAGGTATCTTTATGAGGTGCTTAATGCATTCCTTTGAGTAAAGTCTATTTTGTCTGAAATAACTACATCTGTTCTCTTTTGGTTACTGGTTGCATGGAATATTTTTTTACACCTTTTCACTTTCAGCCTTTGTGTGGTCTTAAAGCTAAAGTGAGTCTCTTACATGCATAAAGTTGGATATTGCTATTTTATTCATTCAGCCACTCTATTCTAATGGAAAAACTTAATCCACTTACATTTAAAATAATTATCAATATATAAGAATTTACTATTGCCATCTGTTCATTGTTTTCTGGTTTTCTTGTTATGCTGTTACTCTTCTTTTATGATTTGATAATATTTTAAATAAAATTTCATGTGATTCAATCTTTTCTCCTTTCTCAGCTTACCAATAACATTTCTTCCAAAATAATTCAGTGCCTGCATTAGAGATTGTAATATACACTCACAAGTCATCTAAGTCCATTTTCAAATAACTAAACTTTTACAGGTAGTTTAGATATCTTATGATAAAGTCTTCCCAATTCCTCCTTCCTATTCATTATCACATTCATTTCACTTATGCATATACTGTAATTACCCAATTAGTTGCCATTTTTTAATTCTTAATCCAATTAAGAATTAAAAAGTAAAAATTTTATTTTACATTCATTTATTCCTTTAATTTCTAATCTTTACATTTGATTTCTAATTAATTAAATTTAATTCCTGATCTTACAAATACATGTGATATAGCACACCCATCTGACATTTGGTTCTCATGCTTCCACATGACACATCTTTCGTATAGTGCTATCCAACTTCTCATATGGAGTGGCATTCATCTAGGTGTTCCTAGGAAGAGAAGATGAGGTTGAAGAAGATGAGGTAAGGGATTGAAAGTTGGAGAGCTGCCTCACAGTAGTATTGTAAAGACAGGTTCTAAGTGGATGAGTCCTGTGTGGAAGTCGTTTAGGAGGCAGTAGCGGTTCCTAAGGAATGAAATGATGTTTGCTGAGATGACTAATGTTCAAGCTCCATTGTTTGGGAGCTGCAGCAAAACACTGCATTGGCCAACCTTAGTATCTTTGTTTGACATTGGATACTAATCTAAGTAGACAAAAGGCCCCAGGAGTGACTCACATTGGATATTTTCCCACCTGTTAAAATTGAGGCTTTGAGCCAGATTTCATATAGAAAAATTAAGTACTCTGTGCCATAGTTTAGTGTTGTGAAACAAATTTGTCATTTCTGTAATTATTCCATTTAATACTTAGAACAGTATGAAATCATTAACTTTATCCCCCTGTATAGAAAGACAATTTGAGAGAAAAGGTAATATTTATGAATATCTAGAGGGCAAACATGGAAGAAGAAGCCAAGAATAGAGAGAT